TGGATATGCCTCCAGGGCGCCAACCAACGTTCACAAAGAGCTTCCACAGCCCCTCCAGCATGCTTTGAACCGCTTGTCCAACAAGTGCCCCCAGAAGTGGCCAACGATGTCCAACAGCGCATCCAAACTGATCGCAGACGCTCGCAAACGTTCGCAGGGCGTTTCGAAGCTGACGAGACGTGCCGGCGAGCGCTCCCGAGGTGCTTGCAAAAGTTCGCGAGGCGCCCCCAAAGCGCCGCCAGGCTGCATTTAGGCACTCTTGCCCCCACAAGCATGTTCAAAGGCCACCCCGATTGCCCCCGACGTGTTTTGACACGTTCGCGAGCGCTCGCAGAGGGCCTCCGAAGTACATGCGAGACCACTCGGAGCCTGGGCATCGCTCGGGCGTCCATCCCCTTGTGCTTTTTTTTCGGTTTCGTGCGTGGCCTTCTCGCCAGAAAGGATCAAGGCTGCGCCTCGATGGTCCTCGCCGAAGGAACAAAAATGCACACGCCCGAGCGGTGCCGAGGAGGTGGCGGAGCTCCGAGGCGGACCGGTTGCCGCCCCAAGCGGGGCGCAGCGCAGGCAATCCTTCGTTTTTTTTGCAATCCTTCGTTTTTTGTTTTTTTTGCAATCCTTCGTTCAAGCGGGTTTTTTTTGCAATCCTTCGTTCGGGTTTTTTTGCAATCATCCGGGTTTTTTTTGCAATCCTTCGTTCAAGGCGAGGTCGCGGACAAGGCTGGCAGGAGAGCACGGAAAGGGGGCGGCCACGGGGGGGCCGAGCGGGCCGCCGAGGGGGCGGGGCGAGGCAGGAGCGGAGACAGGAAGGGCGGGGAGAGAGAGAGGGGAGGGCAGGGAACGACCGAGAAAGAGCAGGGCGGGACAAAGCACGGTCAAATATCGCCCCCCCCCCCCCCTCTGACGGCATGTTTTCATTCTTTGCACCCAAGCGTGGGCTCTAGGAATCCACAATGCGTCGAAGGCGGCGAAACCATAATCCTCAAAGGCGCGATGGCAGTGCCGGGGCATAGCTTTTGCCCTGATGTCCAGAAGATTGTCGGTCATGCTGCGCCCTTTGATGAACTCATTCTGGACATTGACGCGCGCGAGCTGACGCATCGCGCCCACTGGAATGTTAACAGCGGCCGAGACAGCTTTGTGGCGCGTGTTTGTGAGTGTGCTTGGCCTCGCGTAGTCGGCTGACCGAAATGCACCTGTCCTCTAGAGCGTCCGCAGCTTGCTTGCCATTGACGAGTAAGACGGCCATGCCCGCGGTTATTGAAATCGTTGTCTGGAAGCTGCCTTAGCAGAGTGGTAGAGTACATCTGGGCGAGCAGAGCCTGGAGATCGGGGCCACCTCGGGCCCAGCCTGAATACGCAAGCCCGTCAGCCCCTGGAGCGCTGTCGCACGCGCCTTGGAGGAGGCCCGCGAACTCGGGGAACCCCAAGTCCCAGATTATCCCAGGAGGACACTGCTGGACGCAAGGCCCGAGGACCTCCCGCGTGGTGGTTCCCCCCTGGAAGTCCTGATGAACCGTGCCCCAGCGCCTAGCGAGTTCCCTGCCGATGTCGCCAGGATCGCGCATTTGCTGCCCCGCGGGATCCACGAGGCCCGCGAGGGTACTTGCCCCAGGCGGAGGCGCAGGACTCGAGGTGGGCCTTCATGGTGACGCGCTTTTGGGGGGACGCGGAGGTCCCCCGGGCGTCTCCCTGGCGCTCCTGGATCCTCTGGAGCGAAAGCTCGCGAAGGTGCTCATGGAACTGTCGCTCGCGCGCCCAGCCGACCCCCTCGGCCTGCGCGAAGGAGCTGAGGAACGGGTGGCAGCCTGCAGCTCGGCGAACCGAGGCAACGCTGCCGTTCGCGACGACGCGTTCGCCGGTGCCCTCCACGGGCCGCAGTGCCGGCCGTCGCCGCGCACGCTTGGCAGCACCGTGGAGGACCTCTTCAGCTTCCTTAGGGGAGCGAGCAATGACACAAGCATAAAAACTCGGAGCTCCGCGCGGATTTCTCGGATCGGCGCTGGGGCCCCCCGGCGGCGCCTCTGGCGCCGCCCCTGGCGCGCTCCGCGCTCCGAGAAATCCGCGCGGACCTCCGAGTTTTTGTTGTTTATGCCACTCTTTGTTCCCCTATTCCTGGAGGGCGGCCCCCAGATCCTGGGAGAGGGGCCCAGATTCGCAGAGAGGCTCCTCCACTTCCTCGGCGAACCAGGGGCGGCGAGAGACCCGCGAGGCCACCCTGGGAGCCCCCGGGCTGGAGCACGGCGAAAACGCATATCGCAGACGGGGGGCGCGGTCGGACGAGCTGTTCGGCTTCGTCGGGGCCCCGAGGGCGAGGCTGTTAACAGCCCAATACCCAATACCCAATTGGGTATTGGTGCGAATCCGACCAGTCCGCCCAAGACTTACGCCGTCCTGGGCGACATGGGGGGCGCGTGTGCACTCGGGCGGGCGGACCTGTAAAAGCTCTGGGGGCAACCTGCGAAACTCGCTGGCCAACGCGCTCGCGGGGGCGACCGCCCTCCCGTCGCTGCGGGCCCTACTCTCGCCAAGGCCAGGGAAGCTCCAGTCGCCCAGCACACTTGAAAGCGCGGAGCATTGCCCGCGCACCGCCCGTCGAAGATACTGCAAAGCAGTAGACAGCTCCCGTCGTCGATGGGTTGAGGTGGATATCGATGATCTGCAAGGTCCTCGCGGGCCCCGAGAGGAGAACACTATGCAGTCGACCTTGGATGTGAGTATGACGGACGCGGTGAGTAAAGAGAGCCATGAGGGTAGGGTGGATGGCAATCGTATAGTCTCCGTCTGCTTCTGGAACGTGGGAGCTGCCAAAGATATGAAGGCCTCGAATATCACGCGCAAGCAATCCTGTCCTCTGGATTCCCGTGGAGCTCCCCGGCACCCACAACGCTACGCTCCTGAACAAGTCTGGCAGCAATTCGGTGTTTATAGCACGTGCTGTTTCAATCGGCGTACTGGGAGAGCCAAGTGACCCTTTCGTATCCCATGAGACCGCAGCAAACTTGCTGTGAACGTGAAAAGGACGACAACTCACTGGCACTCCACTGCTGCTGGAGGATCGGGTCGGGCGAAAGGGGGGGATAGCAAAGGGGGGGGGGTGAGAATCAGCTCACGTAGCTGATTTTCCCGGCGCCTCCCAGCGCCGGGAGGCGGTCATGTATCGAGGGATGGGCCCCTCGGTGGGGCCGAAACCAGCTGCATGCAGCAAATTTCGTAACCCCCCCTTTCTCTATCCCCCCCCTCTCGTCCGGCCCGAGAGGAACCACCAGACGAGCCCGCGGAAGAATAGGAGGAACAAGACGAAGAGTCGCCACATCTGGAGCCGCCGCCCAGCTCCTCGCGCAGGTGCCCAGGATACCCCACCTGAGACCACGTGGTCGGAGCCCGCTCGGTACAGTGCCGTTTTTAATACATGCTCCGCGTGCGGATCATGTATTAAAAATGCAGGGATGTAGTATTAAAAACAACGATGAGTTCATGCATAGATTTATTCATGCATTAATCATGTATGAAAAATCATACATATTTTCTGAAATCCGATGTACTGAAAACTGCCCTGTACCTGGAGTGGCCCTGGCGTGCTCGCCGTGAGCAGCCCCACTCGAACTGCCATCGGTGGGCGGGGACGGCCTGGAAACTGATCAGGCCGTGGCAGAAGACAGCGAGGAGGAAGGGCAGGCTGTCGGGGGCAGCGGCTGGTCCTGCGAACTCTCCGCGCAGGGCGTGGCGACTGCCTACAACATGGCAGTGTGGGTCCACCTGGAGGCCTTCGCATCAGCGATCCCGTGCTCCTTGAGTGCCTCCATCTCGCGGCGGATGTCCATCTGCTCGCTGTGGCCCTCGTGGAGCGAGAAGGGCACCCACGCGACCTCGTGCCAGGCCATGAGGTGGACCCCTTTTTTCAAGGGGCCCCAGGACACACAAATAAATACACACACATAAAATGATTCCCCATATTTTCTGGGTTTTCGTTTTCCCGCCCAATTCCCATATTTTCCCATATTTTCTTCGGGATCGACGATGAATTGTGTCTGTGTGTTTTTTCCCCTCCTGACTTTTGTGCGGGCTGTTCCCTATCTTCATGGTGGTGACGTCGAACTTGTTCTCGGAGCGCGGGTGGTCGGTGAACAGTCGCCCCAAAACTACGAGGTGACGGTTCTTCTTGCGACTGCAAGGGCTCGCGTCCATGCGGGCCTGCAGCGGGTGCGTCCTCTTCTTGCGGTCGGCCCACTGCAGCCCCTCGGTACGCACGCGATCGAGAAAGGTCTTCTTGACATGGGGTGTCGAGCCGAACTTGATAGATGCGCTTAGCCTCAGCGGCGCCGGCCACGTCCTGCGGCATAGCGTTGATGACCGACTCGGCGTGGAAGCGCATCACGGTGGCCAGCATCTTGTGCGGGAGCCCGCTCACCCAGACGTTGGTCGGGTCGGAGTCGAAACGGCTGGACCCACTGGAACTTGGCGGCCGCGTCGGTGTCCTGCTGCTTCCACTGGGGAGCGTCGCAGGCGCACTCCCGAGCGAGCTGGCGGTCCGCAGGCGCAGCTTCTCGTCGAACTCTGCCTCGAGCCTGGCCTCGAGCTGCTCAACGGCTACGGCCCGCGGCCCGAGGCTCCGAGGAGGAAGCCCTTCGAGCCGTGCCGGTGCCCAGGGAGGCGCCGCCCGCGAGGCGCAGCCCGAGGGCCCCCCCCAAAAAACGGCCGAGGGACCCACCCCGAAGACCCAACAATGGGAGGGCACCAACTATGCACCAACACCGATCCTGGCCAGGATCACCCTGGGCCCAGGATCGGTGTATGCGCCCTCCTGCCTTGCGCAGGAAGGCATATACACCGATCCTGGGCCCAGGGTGATCCTGAGCCAGGATCGGTGTTGGTGTATAGTTGGTGCCCTCCGAAACAAATCCAGAAGAAGCCGGCCGCCCCCCCGAGCCGGCGGCCGCTGGCGCCGAGGCGCACCGCCGGGGGCCGCCGAAAGCGGCGGCGGCGCTCGGCCGCCGGGCTGCCTGGGTGTGGCTGGCGCCGCTGCTGGCGGTGGCGCTGTTGGCGCCCGCTGGGCGGCTCGCGCTGGGGCTGCTGAGGGCGCCGTCGAAAGCGTCGGACGGCCTTGGGCGGACGGGGAGGGGGCAGGAGGAGGGGTGGAAGGAGGGCGGAGGAGGAGGAGGGGGAGGAGGAGGAGGAGGAGGAGGAGGAGGAGGAGGAGGAGGAGGAGGAGGAGGGGGAGGAGGAGCAGGGAGAGGACGAAGACGAGGAGGGGGACATGGAGGTGGAGGAAGAAGAAGAGGATGAGGAGGAGGAGCAGGAGGAGGAGGAGGACAGGAGGAGGAAGAGGTGAAGGTGGAGATGGAGGAGGAACAGGAAAAGGAGGAGGAGGATGCGGAGGAGGAGGAGAAGACACAAGGAGGAAGGAAGACGAAGGACAGGCAGGACAGGGGGGGAGCGGCAGGATGAGCGGGACGAGGCGCAGCAGGAACAGGAAAGAGGCGAATAACGTGAGATAGTGAGGAACAGCAGAGGAATGGTGTGGTGTCGCGGGTATTTCAACGGAGGCTCTATGGGGGTTGGACGGAGCGGGCTCTGTGAGATCGAACAAAGTCAGGGGATGAGCAGGAGGAAGGGGGGGGGGGAAGGTAAGAGGATGAGGATGAGGATGATGACGAGGATGATGATGATGCTGCTGCTGATGATGATGATCCTGGTGATGATGGTATGATGAAGAGGAGGAGGAATAATATAAGGAGGAAGAGGAGGGAGAGGGAGGAGGAGGAGGAGGAATAGGAGGGAGGAGGAGGAGGAGCAGGACGAGGATGAGGAGGAATATGAGGAGGAGGAACAGGAGGAGGAGGAGGAAGAAGAGGAGGAGGAGGGGGAGGAGGAACTGAGAAGGAGGAGGAGGAGGGGGAGGAGGAGGAGGAGCAGGACGAGGCGAAGGAGGAGGAAGATGAGGAGAGAGGAAAGAAGAAGAGGAGAGAGGAGAGAGGAGGAGGAGGAGGAGGAGGAGGAGGAGGAGGAGGAGGAGGACCATCGCACAGCTGCACGGGTGGTTTTCGCTATCGACTCGTGAATCGAATTTGGGCGGGCTGATCCCTCGCCTTCTCGAGGCAGCCTGGGTCCTTCGCACAGGCTGCGCTCATCATTCTGGAATCCGCATCCCCTCAGAGTGGGGCCTTTCAAACCACACAAAGGCAGGCGACGAACGAGAGGCAGCATCCAGGACACTACATCGCATGTCTGCCGATGTAATTCGAAATCCTCTACTCGCAATGTGAAGAGTTGCTGCCTGCTTCGTGAGCGCAGGCTTCGCACACTCTCCACCTGCAGGTAAGGCACATATAGATTGGTGTGAACTTTGTGGCAAAGGGCTCACTGTACGTCATGCAAGGCTTGGATGATTTGCCTCGCGTTGTTCTTCGCAGCGCGTGTCCGCGTGGGCATTGCCATGCCACGAGGCCGCCTCTGCCAATCATGGTCGAGAGACGCTTGTTGCTCTCGGCCTCGGTGAACTCCATCTCGAAATTGTTGTTGGCTGCGGTCTGGGGCAGCTTCATCTCCGTCTCGAGGCCCACCGTTGCGGCAGGCACGGGGATATTGTGGCTCTCGGTGTCGGTGAACTCCTTCGCGAAGACTTCCTCGGGGCCGAAGTCTGACTCGGGGGACTTTGGGGCGACAGCCTCGCCCTCCAGCTCCTGGTTCGCAGCGCACACGTTCTGCACGATCTCCATCTCCGTGTGCGGGCCGTTCTCGGCCTGCAGCTCCACGTACTCTGCGGCGTACTGGTTCTGATCGATCTCCTTCGCGAGACCCATTGTCGAGGCAGGCGCGTAGATATTGTGGCTCTTGGCCGCGGTGATCTCCTTCTCGAAGAACTCCTCGGTGCCGAGGCCGACCACGGGGGCCTGCGGGGCGATTCGCTCGCCCTCCAGCTCCTACTTCGCGTCCAGGGCCGTGCTGATCACGCCCTGCTTCCCCAGATCTGAGTTGTCCTCGGCGGAGTGCACGTACTCCACGAACATCCTCCACTCCTCGGCGGACCCTTTCACGCCCAGCGCCTCCAGGACGGCGACATCGTGAGGCACGAAGGTCGCCACATCTGCGCTGAGGGTGGGATGTGCACCTTTCTCTCCTCTGCTGGCAAGGGCCGCCTCCAACAAAGGAGCGGCCAGGCCAGCCGGCGCCGGAGGCGGGCCACGGGCCGCACCAGGGGGCGACGCGTGCCGCGCAGAGTTGCCCACGATCAGCAGTTCCTCCGCCTCGTCGATGAAGTGGCGCTCGATGCCCAGGAGGCGCCCCGCGTCCACCGCATCGCGGAGTGAGGGCACGTGGCAGCCCGAGGCGTCGCTCAGGCTCCAGTGCGTGGTGGGCGAGGCTCGCAGGGCCTTAGCGCGGTGCGCCAAGGCCGACGCCCGCGTCGCTCCAAGTTCCCGACGTCGATCTCGTCTGAGCCGTCGCGCCAGCGTTCGCGCGCTGGCAGCAGCCCGGCAGCGGCCTGCAGGGCAGCCGTCCATAGCCTCTTGCGCGCCTGCGCCGAAACAGGCGCGCTGGCGAGGGCCTCCCGAAGCGCGGCTCGCTTGAGCCAGGAGGAGGAGGAGGAGGAGGAGGAGGAGGAGGAGGAGGAGGAGGAGGAGGACGAGGCGGAGGAGGAGGAGGAGGGGGGGGAGGAGGAGGAGGAGGAGGAGAGGAGAGGAGGAGGAGGAGGAGGAGGAGGAGGAGGAGGAGGAGGAGGAGGAGGAGGGAGGAGGAGGAGGAGGAGGAGAGAGAGGAGGAGGAGGAGGAGGAGAGGAAGAAGAGAGGGCGAGGAGAAGGAGGAGGAGGAGGAGGAGGAGAAGGAGGAAGAGAACGAGGGGGAGGAGGAGGAGGATGAATACAAAGGGGAGGAGGGGAGGAGGAGGAGGAGGAGGAGGAGGAGGAGGAGGAGGAGGAGGGGGAGGAGGAGGCGGAGGGGGAAAAAAAAGGGAAAGGGAGTAGGACGAGGAGGAAAAGGAGGAGGAGGAGGAGGAGGAAGAGGGGAAGGAGGAGAAGGAGCAGGAGGAGGGGAAAGGTATAAAAGAAGGAGGAGGGGCAACCACATAAGTACCAACAAAAGGAGGAAATAGGGGAAGTGAGAATAAGGGGTGGAGGAACGGTAGAGAGGAGGACTTGGGAGGAGGAGGAACAATAACAGAAACGGGCGGAAGGAGGAGAAAAAAGAACAGAAGAGCATGAGCAACATGAGGACAGAAGAGTTGGAACAGCAAAGATAGGTGTCGGCGAAAAGACCGCGCCCACGGCTGGCCACCTCTCGTCCAGGGCCACCCCGTTCATCCAGAGGGACACGATCTCATCTGCGTGGTCCTCGCCCCTGCGGTCGGCGAGAGAGGAGGGATGATGAACAGGTATGGAAAGAATGAGGGGGAGGAGGACAGGGTGGGGGAAGAGGGGGACGACGAGGACGAGGAGAAAAACGACGAGGCGGAAGAGGATGAGCTGCAATTGCGGAGATTGGGGGCGAGGAGGAAAACATGGCGGCAAAGCTATGCAAGCGGACCATTTTCACCTCTGTCCAAAATGCATTCGCTCTGGCGCTTGAACCCATATTACAACGGGGCATCATATTCGAATCGGGATTGTGCGGGCAATTGAACAGCTCTGATGGAGCGGGGGAACCGAGAAAGAGGGAACGCCAGAACTGTCCAACGTCCCGCGCACCTCCCCAATCAGTCTAGGGTGCTCGGCCGCCACCAGGGAGGCGCGCTGGGTTGGCGGAGTGCGCGCTCACTGGCTGCGCTCAGCGAGCATGTCCTTGCCTCTTCACAGCGGCACAAGGCAGCTCATGAGCAAGAGAGAGGCAGCAAGCCGAGTTCCGCGGCGGCGCGCGAGAGCCTTGCGCGGCGGCCGGGGCGACCGAGAGCCAGCCTGGATACCAGGCTCGGCAAGGCATGGCACAAGCTCTGCGGAGGCGAGGCTGCGAAAGGGGCGCATGGACTGGACTGGCAGAGGGAGCGGAGAAGAATGTGGGGAGTCACCTTGAGGGAGCGCGGACGCGGATGCAATGCTCCAACCTTGTCCGTCGGACTCGTCGGCGCGAGGCTCGGGCTCTCTTCTGGCCTCCGCGCCGTCGGCCGCCGCGCGCTTCGCGGCGCCCAGGCCTGGGGTGGGCGGCGCCTCCTCCCTCTCGTCCTCCTCGCCCTCTTCTTGCGCCTCCCTCTTCCTGTGCAGAGCAGCGTGCTTATGGCCCCGCCTGCGCTTGCTCTTGAAACCTGCGCGGCGGGTCCGTTTGGGCACCCTCTCGAGCCAGGCCGCGGGCGTCTGCGCCCCCCTGTCATTGTCAATGCTGCCCTTGCTGGCTTCGCTGCCAATGCCACAACCCTTGCTCCCCGCGCCGCCCTCCCAGCCTGCCGGCGCCGCGCCTGGCCGAGGCTGCCCATGGGCGCCCGGCACCCGGCCGCGCGCCGGAAGCTGGGCGGCGGCTCCAGCTCGCGAGCGCCCGTGCAGAAGTCGCGGGGGCGCTGCGAGCGCGCGGCAACGCACTGGCGCCCAGGCGCTGGCGCGGCGGGACCTGGTGGCGGACCCGGTGGCAGGGGCGACTAGGCCCATGGCGCTGGGCCGGCCGGCTGCGACGGCTCGGGCGACCGACCGAAAGCGCCGCTGGCTGCGGCGGGCCTGGATGTCCGAGGCCAGCAGACAATCTTCGCCGCAGCCTGGCCGAGGAGGCCCAGCCACGAGACTCCAGCGCCCGCGGTAAGCAAGGCGACGCTCGCGGGCCAGCAAATGCGCCCAGCGCGCCTCAGGCGTTGCCCGAATACCAGAACCATCGCATGAAGGATTTCCCCTTCGACAGTCGGACGCAGACCTGGATCTCCGTTGCACTGCCCGCTCGCGATGCGCACCTCGTCGCCGAACGACGCGCGCAGCTGCAGGTCCAGGCGCCTGTCGCTTAACAACCAAGCGCGCCATGGGCCCCGCGAGAGCCATGCTCGCGCGCCAGTTGCAGCGGACGCACTTGTCGACTGACCTCGTCGAACAAATGTGGAGGCGGAGGGGGGCGCGCCGCAACTTCTCCTGCGCGATCTTCCGCTGATTCCCGCCCTCTGCCGCGCGCGGGAAGCAGACCTCGTCGCCGATGATCTCCTGGCGCGCCGGCGCGGCCTTGCTCGGCGCCGCGAACCGCAGGCGCGCGGGCCGAGGAGATGCCGAGGGCCGACGGGCCGCGCCGCTGCCGCCGCGCATGGCCGGGCCGCGGCAGCGCCCGCGCGCGCGAGGCGGACGCGAAATCACCCGGTCGCCCTCGCGGCTGCGGCGGCGCAGCAAGTGCGCCGAGGCGGGGCCGCGCGACGGAGGCGGTGGCAGCGATGGTTCGCGGCGGTCGGACGCTGCCGCCGGCGCCGGCCGGGGCCCCGCGGGCGGCGGCGTCGCGGGCGGCGTGCCCCGTGGGCGTGCCGCCGCGAGAAGACCGCCAGCAGGTGCTGCCAGTGCTCCACACTTGCGCCGCGGCGGTGGGCTGGTGATCGAATCCGATGAAGGTGAAGCCCGTCGCGCGGGTGAAGCGGCGGCCTTCCCGAGACGCCCAGGCGCGCGCGCGCCGACCCCGCGGCGGCCGGCTGGCGCGGCGCGCGCGCAGGCGCCCAGCGCCGCGCGCGCGCAGAACAGGCAAACAGCTGCGCATGTCACGCCCCCACGCGCACTTACGCGGGCACCCGCGCGGGCGCGTCGCATCGCGCGCCGCTGCGCATACCTCCCCACTCACAACTGTGCCAATGGCATGTCCTATCAGCGCCTGCCGCGCCGACCTCCCCAGCCGAGGCAAAGCAACACTTGCGCGAGGGGCTCGAATGTCCAGATCAACGCGAGAACAATTATGGGACATGAGGGTGAGAGGCAAGGGAAGTGATGTAGGCTTTGGCCAGGCAAGACTGGAGCATGGCGGTCGCACCTGTCGCTGTTGATCATCGCCCTCCACAGGCTCACGCTCATGACCTGGCAATATAGCGATCTTGCCCGCGGCTTTGAGGGTGGCGGTTCATGGAAGGTGGTCTCTCCCGCGGCGCCCGCTGTCGACAGTGGGGGCCTGCGTGAGTCCGCCCGCAATCGCCTCGCAGGTGTCCTTCCAGCTCAGGGCCGATAGTGTGCCCCGAGCGCAGGAGGTCTCGAAGCCGCAGAAAGCGTGGCAGCAGTGGGTGCTCTGCCGGAGGCTGTGGCCCGGCGGCCGCCACAGCGGCGACGGCGCCCGTGGAGAGTGCCAGGCCATGGTCAGCGCGCGAGGTCGCGGCCATCAGCTCACTCGCGAGGGCGCTGCTTGCCGCCCGCCTTGAGAACTCCACGCTGCCCGCCCAGAAGATGGCAGGGACTGGTGCCAGTGGAGGGCGCTGGCGTTGATGCCGAAGACGCGGCGCCCATGCGCGGGGGCGCTGTACCTCGCAGGGCGCAGCCCACGCGCGCGCCCCCCCTCGGCCCCATGCGAAACGCTGCGTCGGAAAGGATTCCCAGCCCGGCTGCGCACCTCAGAACTGGGTGGCGGATCTTCGACGGGCTAGCTTGCGCCCGCCTGGCGCGGCCTTCCCCCGGCGCGTGGAGTTCACGGATGCGGCCGCGCAGGGGCGCCGCCACGCGGCACTGCAGTGCGACAACATAAACGCGAAGGCAGGTAAATGCGCGCAATGAGAGCAAACGCCAAAACCAAAAATTATCCCGGCAAAGCAACCTAACAGCGATGTGTAGAAGCATATCTGAAAGCATTCCCCTTAAGATTCAGATGAAAATCCAGTTGTCGAATTCTGCTGTTCTCGCAGTCGTAGTCGCATTCGCGATGACAGTCGCAGCGGCAACGGCAGTCGCAGTCACAGCCTCAGCCTCAGCCTGCCTCAGCCTCAGCCTCAGCCTGCCTCAGCCTCAGCCTGCCTCAGCCTCAGCCTCAGCCTGCTTCAGCCTCAGCCTCAGTCTGCCTTCAGCCTCGGCCTCAGCCTCAGCCTGCCTCAGCCTCAGCCTGCATCAGCCTCAGCCTCAGCCTCAGCCTGCCTCAGCATCAGCCTGCTTCAGCCTCAGCCTCAGCCTGCCTCGGCCTCAGCCTCAGTCTGCTTCAGCCTCAGCCTCGGTCTGCCTTCAGCCTCGGCCTCAGCCTCAGCCTGCCTCAGCCTCAGCCTGCCTCGGCCGCAGCATCAGCCTGCCTCAGCATTCAAAATGTGGCCCAGGAATGGAGTTCTGGGAACTAAAAGAACACGAAGTGGCCTACAGTTGGCTCCGGGCATTCAAAATGTGGCCCGGGAATGGAGTTCTGGGAACTTGAAGAGCACGAAGTGGCCTACAGTTGGCTCCGGGCATCCAAAATGTGGCCCGGGAATGGAGTTCTGGGAAATCGAAGAGCACGAAGTGGCCTACAGTTGGCTCCGGGCATCCAAAATGTGGCCGAGGAATGGAGTTCTGGGAATTCGAAGAGCACGAAGTGGCCTACAGTTGGCTCCGGGCGTCCAAAATGTGGCCCGGGAATGAAGTTCTTGGAGCACCAAGAGCGATTTTGCGAGGATGTCCTAAGCGATTTCGGCTTCGGCGGCAGCCTGTCCGGGTCCCGCCCAGACCCCCCTGAGGAGTCATGATGTTCTCTTTTGAAACCACTAGAAACCTATCAGCAAGAGCTGTTAGGTAAAAACGTTGCGTGACCATCGGGTGCAAGCTCAGAGTTAGCTATCCAAACAAGCCGGGCACCTCCGATGGGCTTGAGAGCCCACGCGTGGTCGGCGTGATACGCCGTCGCTCATGGGCGAACGTGGGGCCCCACAACGCGCGCAAGTTCCTTCGGAGATAACCAAGTCATCGCTGCCAGCGGCGCACCACAATAACATGCGAAGGTCATATATTTCTTCAGAAGTTCCAGCCACCTCCATATCGCTAGCGCGTCTAGAAGCTGGGAGACAGAACCCGCCGTTGCGGTGCTTGGCGATGAACTCGTTGTCACAGAGTGCGGGCGCGGCCCGGCGTAGGCCGTCGGCGGCCATTGCGGGTCGGATGGGCCAGCGCCTCAGCGCGCACTGGCAGCTGGCGCCTGGTTTCTCTGCGTGAGAGACCTCGGGGGCTGGATCGAAGTCCTTGCATCTGTGAAACCTGCAACGGACTGCAACGGTATCAAGGGGAAGCACGAAGCTGATTTCGCGTTCATCCTCGCCCGTTGCCTCTGCAAGTTCGCCGTAGCTAGCTCCTGTGGGAGAGGTTTCTTGACATCCAACGCGTCGATCGTCCGCCCTCGGCAGACTGCCTCTGAAACGGTCGCTCGCTGTGAGAATGGCGCGGCTGTGCCGGCGCAGGCGGCGATGGGGTCGGCGTTCGATGTCTTTGAGGCCTCGCAGAAGCAGTCGCGCGCGAATGATCCGTACCTTATGCGTCGGATCTGCCTGCAGTTTCGCGCCCATGTACACGTGGGCGCTAAACTGCAATCCAGGATGCCCCCCGCTGTTCGGCGCGGTCACCGCGAGAAGCAATCGCGGTCTACGCAGAGTTGGAGCCCCTCAAGCAAAGCCGCGGCCGCGACCGCGGCGTGCTCTTGGAATCTTGAGGGGTGCATAGGCGGGCGTCGCGTTCAAGCGCACCTTTGTTTGGTCCCGCCGCGTGGGCCCTGAATCGGGCACAATCGCCGTCAGCGAGAACTTCCGAGGAGGTTCAGCATCGGCAGCTAGGCAGCGGCGGCGAAAATGCACATCCGAGTCAATTCTGCGCGGCGGCGGAGACGCCGCGGCAGGCTGCGGCTCGGTCTCCGGGGGGCGGCGCGGCCGCTGCGCCTGCCGTTTTGACGTCGCGCGTGACAGTCTGTTGTTCTGCCTTCAGAGATCCTCGCTAGGTCGAGTCGGCGAGTTGCGCGTCGACTGAAGGGCCCTCGCAAGATCCTCACTGGAAGGTTGAGAATCGCCCATCATCGCGGGCAGACTCGTCAGGGCGCGCGCGCGCCGCTTGCCAGAGAGGCGTCGCTACTGCAACGCCGCAAGTCCGCCGCATGAAGCTCGCATTCCACAAGGACTCCAGAGCAGCGGCCACAGATATTCTAAATGTTAAGCAGCACATGGCTAAGATTACTGTTATCCAGGCCCATGAGCTCGACAGGGGTGAGTCGGCCAACCTCGGTGCCCCTCCAGATTCCAATATTGCGCAGGCCCAGCCCCCACCATGCCAGAAATTATCAGCCTTGGCTGTCCTCGGCGACGATGCGTTCGAGACAACGTTCCATCTGAACAGCGATTACACGGATAGGATTGAACGCGTTCCTGGCGAAGTACTCGGGACCGATGGCATCTTGGCGTCGTGGGGTAGTCACTGTGGTGAGGGCGCCGGTGTCGGCAAGGCCAAATCGTTGTTGTGCGTTCGCAGTCAGGCTGGAAATGCCCACCCCGCAGATGCGGATAATAATGAGGGGGCGGTGGGGACGTCGGCAGTTGGCATGACTCCGGGGAAGGCCGCCGCCGGCGCCACAGCTTTACAAAGTATGCAAAGAGCCCGCCGCAGACGCCAATGTTTTCGCTAAACCAGTGTTGGTAGGTCGCGGGTGGGTCGCGGGGTTGTTCGCAGGTGGGTCGCAAATAGGTCGCGGGTGGGTCGCGAATGAGGTCGCGGGTGGGTCGCGAATGAGGTCGGGGGTGGGTCGCGGGAAGGGTCGCGGGCGGGTCGCAGGCGGGTCGCGGGGTGGGTCGCGGGGCGGGTCGCGGGGGGGTCGCGGGCGGGTCGCGGGGTGGGTCGCGGGGTGGGTCGCGGGTGGGTCGCGGGCTGGGTCGCGGGGCGGGTCGCGGGGTGGGTCGCGGGGCGGGTCGCGGGGCGGGTCGCGGGCGGGTCGCGGGCGGGGCGACGACGACAATCAACGACAACAACAACGCGCACATCAACAATAATAACAACAACAAGAACATCAATAACAATACCAACAACAAAAGTCATTTGAATACTGTTCGCTCTCATCTGCTCGAGTGCCCGTTAACGCGTATTTCCCAAACCCTCGATGCCAGCCCTCTTCGTCTTCGATCGCGCACCTTCTTGGGGGGCGCGCCTTTCTCCCTTCAGGCCGGCCCCCGGCAAGCGGCGGGGCGGCCGCGGACCGTCGGCCTGGCCGGCGGCAGCGCTGACTGGCGGCAACCCGACCCCGAGAGGAGCGGACGCGGGACCGACCGCGACGACGACGACGACGAGGACGACGACGTCGTCGACGACGGCGACGACGACGACGAGCGAAAGCGAGAGCGAGAGAGAGAGCGACAGCAAGGCCGCGAAGGGCGCGAAGTAAGCCACGAAGGGCGACAGCTGGGACGCGAAGGGAATGCGCATGGGGCCGCGACGGGCGCGAAAGAGCGGGGGCCACGACGAATGAGATCCACCGCGCGATTCGCAAGATTGGCTAGAATGGCCAGCGCGCCACATGGGCGGAGCCAAGCGCGGCGGGGCAGCCTGTCAGGCCCTGGAGCTGAGTCACCAGCTCTTCGCGCAACTAGGAGAAGATCATCTTCGCCGGGAAGAGATAGATCGAGCCGCTGCCGATGGGGGAATGCGCCGCCGAGGCAGTTGGTAGCGCCCGAGTCGGAGACCGTCTTGGCGGCGAAGACAGGGCCCCAACGGTCGAGGATGGCCGCGGGCACCTTGCTCGGCTCGCAGACAGTCGCGGAGGTGGCGCCCGTCTTCATCTCGACGCCAGCGAAGGCCAGGCGGCGCGCGAACGGCCTTCAGATTTCATCTTCGTGGGCTTCGCGTCTGGAGCGTCGGCGCCATCGGTCACTTAGAGCGACGTTGCGTTGGGCGTGGGCGGCGCGAGACTTGGGGACAGCGCGCGCGTCGTTCTTCGCTCAGGCTGGCGCGGGCCTCGGCGGTCTCCCGGGCGAAGGCGCGCGGGCCCAGCAGCTCGACAGCGCGGCCGTCGATCTCGAGGCGCTCGCGGCCGGCGTCGGCGATGTCGCCGAGCGATGCCGCGGATAGTCATGTCGCGAATGTCCTTGCTGATGCTGTCATTCTGCGATTTGAGCACGGCGGCGGGGGCGGCGGACAACGCGTCGCGCGCGCGGCGCGCGGCTTCATGCGTCGGCAGTTTCTGGCGGCGCCATGGGCGCGCAGCGGAGAGCTAGTCGCGGGCCTCGGCGAGAATCTCGCAGCGGCGGGCGTAGCGCAGCGAGTCGCAGATGAAGGCCGGGACGGCTTGCTCGGCTTCGGGCAGGGCGGGCGCGGAGCTGCGTGATCGTGCGATCGCTGATCGTCCCATCGGGGCCATCGAGAGGAAGGTCGCCGGCGTCCAGCGCGATATCCACGAAAGGAATGTCGTGGGACGGGGGCGAGGTGAAGCAGCGGTCGATCGCGCTTTCGGACAGGGCGGCCGCGGCGCGGCGGGCGGCGGAGAGAGGGTCGTGATCTCGAGTGCGTCCTGGAACAGGTGCTTCCAGACGGCGGGCTGGCACTGCGGGCGCTGGGCCTCGATCGCCTTGGAGTCGATCGGCGCGTCGATAATATTCGGGGCGTGCTCGGAAATGTCGAAGCCGCCCAGCATGATAAAGGTGCGCTGGAGAGGGTCTTCAGCAGCGCGTTGCCGCAGCTGTTGCCATTGTTGTCGGACCGCGCGGCGGTCGCTGGGCGAAAGCTCGCGGTTGTAGATGTCCAGCGCGGCGACGTCGCAGGCGGCAACTCTGAGCCATGCTGCTCTCCCTGGAACGACCCCTGCGAAGGTTCGCAAACGGCGCTCGTCAGCTGACCGGCATGTCTCGACCTGATCGCACGGCGCGAGAATGCCGATGCCACCGGCGGCGGTGGAGTTCGGGGCGCCGGAGTGGAAGGCGAGGTACTTGTGCTGCGTGGAGCGCGCGAGGATGTCCATATCGACGGCGGCCCCGCGCGTCTCCTGCAGCGTGATCAGGGCCCGCTGGCGCAGCATTGGTTTGAGCAGTCGGCGTTTGTCCTGGTGGCGCTGGTCAGAGACGCCGTGGAGTGCCCGGGCGTTCCAGAAGGCGATGTTCATGCCGTCCTCGGCGGGATTGCTCAGCCAGGGGGCCCAGCGCGGGCAAGCCGCTGTGCGGAAGCCAGGGCGCCGGAGAAGCTGGATTCGAAGGCGACGCGGATGTTGGTCTGTTGTTGGTCGGCGATTCCGAGGCGTGCTGCAGCAGCTTTCCAGCGCAATGTGGTTGGCTCGTCAGGAACACCACCAAAAAACACTTGAACCAGCATCTCGTTCCGGTATGATATGTAGCCCTGACTCCTGTGGCGGCGGAGGGTGTATTGGTCGAGGCGCTGGTCGATGAGGGTGGCGAGTCGCTTAAGTTGCGCTTCGCGACGGACTGCGCGTGGACTCTTATCGGCCGAGACGTATAGTACAATAGGAGCAGCACCACCAGCTGATACATTGAAATCACGCCAAACGCGTCCAACATGAAGTGCTTCGTGTAGTCGCCTTGCTCGGGGTTCAGCAACCGCAGTCCTGTGCCGCTGGTAAGGGTGAACCTGTGACGCTTGGCAAGGCCCGTGGTGTTGAACGAAATGCGCTCGTCTGTGCTGTTGGCGTCTTTGGACCACTGCGCCAACGAGGTCTTGACATCGTCAATGCCGAAGGCGGTGGAGGCGCCGAACCATAACGTGCAGGGGTCAGCGGTGCGGTCCCAGGTCCCGAATTTGGCCACGTCGATGCTGGGGTTGCGGGACTCGGCGTCGTCCACGAAGCTTGCTGACAGTTTCGCGCAGTTCTCGAGTAGCGGTCTCGGTGGCGGCGATCCTGGCCTTGGTGTCCTGGAGCTCTCGCTCGGTCCGCTCATGTTTTGTGCTCACATCGGCAGCAATGGGCGTGATGGAGGAGAGGAACTGGGTGCGCGCGGACTCCGCGACGGCTTTGGCGGTGTTCTCGAACTCGTGGGCTGCCTCTCTGAGCTGAGCGGAGAGCGCTCCCTCGAGCTGTTTGCGAAGGTGAGCAGGACGTCCTTGCGCTTGAAGTCTGGCCGCAGCATAGTGCCGTAGGTCTGGGCCTCTTCCGTCTTGATTGGCAGCTGCGACTTCGACGTCTGGCATGATGAACGCGGGCACGCGGCGACAGCTCGATCAGGCTCAGCGGTGAGTATGTAGACCACAACACACAAGAGCATGAGGGCGGAATATGGAAGTGGGCACCCGCAAGCCCGTGGTTGTGGCGGGAAGAAATCGAAAGTGGCCGCCGCACAGCGGTATCCATTGGACACCGATGGGGTAAAGACATGTTGAGCCAAAGTGGCTACGGAGAGGGAAGAAAAGGAGGAGAAAGAGGAGGAGGGAATTGGGGGGGAGGGCGAACAGCAGTTGGTAGATGGTGGGCGAGGCATAGGGGGCCTGCAGATGGCCTCGGCGAGGTCTTCCGGCACGAAGGCGAACACATAGATGCACTCCTGAGGGTGGGGACTCCGCGTCAGGAGGGGAGGGGCGGAAGTGACGTGAGGAGGGGCGTGCAGGAGGTGGAAGATGGTGCGGAGGAGCAGGAATAGAATGAGGAGGGGCAGGAGGAAGGACCGCAGGAGGAGGACAGGGGAAGAGGAAGGAGGCGCGACGGACAGGAGAGGAAAGGAGAGGATGATGACCAGGCACAGGAGGAAGGGCGAGGGAGGGCGGGGGGGAGCTCATCGTCTCCTGCTGCTGCTCCTGCTCCTGCTGCCCCTCCTCCTCCTCCTCCTTCTCATCATTCTGCTTCTCCTTGTCCTCCGTTTCCCCCTCCTCCTCCTCCTCTCCTCATCCTCGTCCTCCTCCTCCTCCTCGTCATCATCATCATCATCATCATCATCATCATCATCATCATCATCATCATCATCATTCTCCTTGCCTCCCCTCAATGCTCCCTCTTTGCTCAATCTCTCGTCCTCCTTAATAGCTCCTCCCTGTCGTACCCCACGACGTGTCGATACTGCCGCCTGGGCGTATCGCAAGAGACATCCTCGTGCAACTACGACCGTGAAACTTGAAACCTGCAACACTTACGCGAATTAGTGAGGGTTGGTTAAAATGGGGGTCTCGCCTGAGCGCCGCGAACAATCGACCTAAAAGCTTGCAGCAATTAGAAAAACGGATTGCCGGGGATGCGGAGGGGGGGCGTTTCAAAACGGAAATCTCGTCTGGGCGCCTGGGCGCTGCGCATATTCATTGCAGAAGCTTGCCAACAATATAAGCATGGGGGGGGAAGTTGCTTGTCAAAATGAGACTCTCGCCTTATCGCCGCGCACATTCGCCTTAGACGCTGACCACGCTCACTGGGATGGAGGACGGCTCCTTTTTCGACGTGGCGCTCTCGCTGGAAATTGCTTTAACCAAGAACAAGAAGCAGAAACTTGCACAGACCTAGCAGCTGCACGAGAAAAAAGGCAGTCATCTTCAAAACGGGACTATCGCTGGATATTTGTTCGGAATGAATGAACAGATCTGTAAGCTTATGAAGCGAAAATACACATTGGCATAGGGGGGCAATTCTCTTTCAAAACGGGGATCTCGCTGGTCATCTCGCCACACCGTATGCTGATATCGCTTCGCTCTTCTTATCATATGCCGGAGTATACCGCGGATCATGTTCAAAGCTAGAATATCGCCTGAACTGCAGGCCGCAGGATGCTGACCTTTGAAGGAGGCGCTTCTTAGTGGAAAAGACAAGCTGCAGGGGATTATGAAGGGACTTGGGGCGGACGGGAGGGCATTGCGAAATCATTGCTGGATTTTGGGTTTTGCTATGGTCCCTCCTCCTCCTCCTCCTCGCTTTCTTCCCTCTCCTCCTCGACCCCCCTCATCCAAGAAGATCATATTGTGCGACCGCGGACAGCTGCCCGCCATGGGGACACGGGGCGCGTGGGGCCGCTCCTGCATCGCAAGTTGAATCTGGAACGCAGAGCGACGCTTCTTCATGCTTACGAAGCATTTGCCCGTGCTGGCGGTGCTGCGCTTGCGATGGCCCGTGACCGCGCAGCAAATTCGGACGCCCCAAAGGCGATAATTTCCGGTTCAGTGCCGATCCGATGCCTTTCCCGCGGGAAGGCGGAACCGTGGAGGCATTCGCAGCGTGCGGCGCAAAGATACATGCGAACGGCGGCGTACTGAAGATACTCTCGGGCGCCGAGCTCTCCGTGAGCCCCAACATCATCGAAACCACGGTGCCTTGCGCAGAAATGTGGGTAAAGTCTGGCACGTGGCTTGCGAGTCTGGGCTGGCTTCGCACCACAGTGGGAAGTCGCTAATGAATGTGGCAGCGGTCCCATCAAGGCAAGTGCTGACACGGTTTGGAACGATGCTGACTTCCAACCCTTGCTCGCGCGACTGCGTGCATGTTCAGACGCACAGGTCCGCAAACAGACCCGGAAGCTGGCTCGCAAAGAGTTTCGGCGGTGCACGAACGACCCGACTGAGCAGATTTTGAGGGAGTTGAAAGACCTGAGCCCATTAGACCGGTTGCGCTTCCTTCCCGCGCGCAGCAAACGGCAGGCGTCATCAGCAGATGCTTCCCCGCAACAGTTTGCAGATGCCTGGCAGATGTTGCTACTTCTGAGTGGGTCCTCGACGAAGGCGTCAACTCTATGACGGAGTAGATGCAAAGACGTCAGCAATTGGGGCTCGAGGGTGTTCCTAAGCTTCGCATGGACGAGCTGAAGCACGCTCTTCGTACGATGGCATGCTGGTAGTAGCAGGACGAGGCGCCTCCGACGCAGCCTTGGGGCTCCGAGATGTTCAAGATGCGACCTCCGACGAGCAGTGACCGAGATGTTCAAGTGCGCCTCCGACGCAGCCTTGGGGCTCCTGCTGGCCACTGCCATCAACACATCGCGAACGGGCAGCGCCGCTCCGAGCTGGCACGACATTGTTTGTGATGCTCCCAAATCGGGGAGACGTAAGACCCGGGTACGGGGGACTCGGAAATCCCCGACGAGGTCGTCAAAAAAGCGACGAGGCCGAGCCTGCATTTTGACGAGGCCTCCCGCTGCAGACATCCCACGAAACTCCTACTCGTCAAAATCCGAGTCGCGGTCGTCAAAAAAAAAATGGCGAACCCGAGTCCTGGCAAACCCGGGTCTTACGCTCCCCCGACCAAAAAGAGGCGATCGGAACAAACCTGGCCATTGGCGACCCATGGCCATGTCGCGTTCTACGTACAAGAGATTGTCCAAGCTGGTGTACGAGAGGCTTCGAGGACACCGTGAAGCCCGGCAGCCGCCAGACCAAGCCGGCTTCCGGAAGCAGCACACAATCAACGATGCTTTCGCTGTGCTCGAGACTGTGTGCGGCAAATATCTGGAGTGGAATTGCCCACGTTGGGACGCGAGCCTCGATTTGAAGAAAACCTTTGAAAAAATGGAATACCTGCTCTGTTCGAGGCGTTGCGCGAGCAAGGTGTGGACCAATCGTACGTGGCTCTGCTTGCGATGTTGTACAATCACCAGACGGGGCGAGTGCAGGGGTCGCGGCGCTTCGGCATCAACAGAGGTGTCAAGCAGGGGAACGTCATCAGCCCCATGCTGTTCAGCGCTGGCGTGGAGCTTGGACTTGATGTGGGCAGCACTTCTGGTGAGAGGCTCACCAACGTCCGATACGCCGACGACCTCATTGTCTATGCTGCATCCTGTGACGAACTGTGCGAGATGATGGAATCCCTGTGCGCTGAACTCCGCAGGGTCGGCCTGCATCTGAATGCGTCGAAGACGAACATGTTTATTGACAAAGGACCTTGCTGGGCTTACGTACGTCGATCGGCGGTGACATGATCGAAATCCTTTCGGCAGCGATGCGCATGCCTTTTTAGGAAGGAAGGTGCCGGGGTCCTTGCGGCAGCGTGCTGACCTCGAGCTGCCACACCGGCTTCAGGCCGCTTGGGGCAAGTGCCACGAGCGGCGGAACACCTTAACAGACAAACAGATTTCCATCAACCGCCGCCTCAAGCTCTTCGACTCCGTGGAAATAGCGCCTACGGTTCTGTTCGGTTTGCCAACGTTAGCCTTGTCAACGCGCCAGAAGGAGCTGCTGGACGTTTTTCAACGACGCATGCTGCGCTTGATTGTGGGCTGGATGCGGCTCGATGACGAAGATTTGAGCGCCAGGATGCGTAGAATGAACGACCGTCTCGACAGGGCTCTCAGATCTTGCCCAGTTCAGAGCTGGCGAATGCGGCTGGCCCACTTGCAACACAGTTTCGCCGGTCAGCTGGGAAGAAAACCTGTCAGCCTGACAGGTGGGCGCGCCAACTATCGTGCTGGAGCCCGGCCGCCGCCTCTGCCGGAGCAGGCCGTGGGCGAGGTCGTCCGGCATGTCGGTGGAACGACGATTTGCGGAGGTACAGTCATCGGCCTGACCTAAGGAACGATAAATAAGGAACGAAGCCCCTTTTTTATCCCAAGGAATAACGCATAAGGAAAGAAAAATAACAAATAACGCATAAGGAACTGTAAATAACGCATGCAAACCTAAGGAACGACCGAGCCCCTTTTGAAAAGTAGGTGTTCCTTATTCAAGCCGCTCACTGTACTCGCTCGCTCAGTTTGGCGAGCCGTGGTGCGACGCTGTTCTGGACCGAAGGAAATGGCGTGCGCAGGCCGAAAGCTATGCGCAAGACTTCTGAGTCCAATGATGCAAGCAATTTTTCCGTCGCCCAAGTGAACTCATAGCTTTCTGCCCGGGCCCGCCTGCGGACCGATTGGATTCGACTGGGCCTTGCTGTTGCTGCTCCGTGGAGGTACGTCCTCGAGGGCACCATCATGAACGTCAACAGACTCGGAAATATTTCGGCGTAACGCGCGGCCAAGGCCGCGGCACTGCGACACCCGCGACTACCGCGACTCTCGCAGCAATAATACCTTGCGAGGCGTACGGCTGCTGACATCGCATACTGGGTGGCCAAGGCGGTGAGCATCGGCGAGGCGCTACTGCGTGCACCTGACGGCCAGGAGGTGCCGCCACTGGAACGCGCGACCTGCGAACACCCACAGTGCGGGAGGCGGCATTCTGGCCGATGCCTTCTCCGCACGGTGCACTGCGAGGGGGCCCCACGTGAGACCACCGTGGGACAGCTGCGCAGGTCGGCCCTGCGGTGCGGAGGGCCTGCGCAGCTTGCGCTCGAGCCGCGGGCGGGGCAACACATCCAGGCGGGCGCACGAACGACCGACCGCTTGCGCTCGGCAGAGTGACAACCCATCGGCTGCTGAGTGGAGCCGACGCCCAGCATGTCCACTTCTCGTGACGGCGGCTGCAGTGGCCGCGACAGTCGCCCCGGCAGCGGCGGCGGGCACGCCAGGGCATGAGCAGGCACCGCGTGCACTACGACGGGCTCGTTCCGACACCTTGCGAGCGCCCAGGCCAGCGGTGGCGGCCGCGCTTGCTTGCACCCAGACCTGAGGCCCCGCCGCCTCCTCCGCCACCAGGCGGCGCC